ACACACACACACACACTCTCTCTCTCTCTCTCTCTCTCTCTGACTCGCCTCAGTCTACATCCTGGTACACACACACACACACACACACACTCTCTGACTCACCTCAGTCTACATCCTGGTACACACACACACTCTCTGACTCGCCTCAGTCTACATCCTGGTACACACACACACTCTCTGACTCGCCTCAGTCTACATCCTGGTACACACACACACACACACACACTCTGACTCGCCTCAGTCTACATCCTGGTACACACACACACACACACACACTCTGACTCGCCTCAGTCTACATCCTGGTACACACACACACACACACACACACTCTGACTCGCCTCAGTCTACATCCTGGTACACACACACACACACACACACACTCTGACTCGCCTCAGTCTACATCCTGGTACACACACACACACACACACACACAACACACACACACACACACACACTCTCTGACTTGCCTCAGTCTACATCCTGGTACACACACACACACACACACACACACACACACACACACACACACACTCTCTGACTTGCCTCAGTCTACATCCTGGTACACACACACACACACACACACACACTCTCTCTCTCGCCTCAGTCATGTCCCACTCTTTGTGACCCCCTGGACTATAGTCCGCCAGGCTCCCCTGTCCATGGGGAGATTCTCCATGCAAAAATACTGGAGTGGGTTGCCATGCCCCACTCCAGGAGATCTTCCCAACCCAGGGATCAAACCCACGTCTCTTAACATCTTCTGCACTGCTAAGTGGGTGCTTTTCTATTAGTGCCACCTGGGAAGCCCCTTCTATATATACCCTATTCACTGTGCTCTTGGCAACAAATTAAAGGACAGATTTTCTGGATCATTAATCAGGTGGAACACCCACATCTTAAAATATTTTTAGAACAAATTAGGTAATATTCAAAAACCATTTGATAGTGAAATATATTATGCTAACTGAAGTGAAGTGTTAGTCACTCAGTCACGTCCAACTCTTTGCAACTCCGTGGACTGTAGCCTGCCAGGCTTCTCTATCCATGGGATTTCCCAGGCAATAATACTGGAGTGGGTTACCATTTCCTACTCCAGATATTATGCTAAAGTGATGATTATTTCATTTCTACATTTGACTGTCTTTGTCATACTCATGTTAAGAAATTAAAAATTAAACAGATTATATTTGTTAGATTATTCTAAAAATTCCATTGTATATTTAAATTTTCATGACAATTTTTCACCTCTTTAGAAGTCACGTGTAAATTAGAATAGTTAGTGAATAATTGTGAGTAGATTGGCATATTTTGTAAAAGATATGATATACCATACAATTTACTTTCCTTGTGTGTGTTTTAGGGAATGTTTGAAGGAGAGGAAATAATTTTTTTCTTTAAAATTTCACATACACAAAAGAATTGAGTGGTGATTATTTTATTCCTTATTGCTAATGGGATTTTAGTTCCATAGCAACTAGCTGAAGGAATTGGGACCAAAATTGAAGGATGAAGTAATTTTGACCATTAAATTTATTATTAAAATAAAAAATATATTTTTATAAGATAGGGTCAGAATTCAGCTATAACTGGAGAAACTGATGTCAGTTTTATGTGATTATTTTCTGTGTATTTAAAAAAAAGTATTCACCGTAGCAACCACAATCACATATGACAGTGGTTACTGTCTTGAGATTTCCTGCTTCACTCTTCTGTTGGAGGGCCTGCTATTTCTTTTTTAAAAAACAAATTGTAAGTCAGAAGCATCATCCTCTTTGTCTGTCTGTGAACACAAGCCTCCTTGGAGACTCAACTGCACTCTGTGGACATGTGTTTCATATCGTGTAGTTAAATATGACTGGCCAATTACAGCTGCTCCATCCCGTTAACTTTTAAAACATGTGTGGGCGTGCTCAGTCGTTGAAACTCCATCAGTGGTAGCTCGCCAAGCTCCTCTGTCCCTGGGATTCTCCAGGCGAGAATACTGGAGCGGGTTGCCATTCCCTTCTCCAGGGGATCTTTCCAGACCCAGGAACCTGGATCTCCTGCATTGGCATGCAGATTCTTTACCACTGTGCCACCTAGGAAGCCCAACTTTTAAAATATACCTAACCTATTTTCCTCCTTATAAATTAAAAATTGTTTTTAAACTTTTCTTTGTATGTAAAAAGTATATACTCTAAATGTTGATAGTAGGTTTTAAACTAAATGATGGAAAATAGTTAAAAGTATAAGCACATACATTTGAAAAAATTGTGTAGAGGGATGTCTTGGTTAATGATATCTTGTTTTGACGTCATCCAAACAGAAAAATCTAATGGAACAGACTACCTTCTTTTATTTCAGTTGATTTTTGGACTTCTGTTAACTTGCTGTGACAATGTTTATTTCTAATGTAGAAATGGGTTATTTTTGAAAAATTTGAGTATGGACTCTGACAGGCATTTTATCATAGATTTTGAGATTGGCCTGAAATGTAGTGATAATCGAACCACTATGTAGTAGTGAATTCCAAGTTTCAAATTGGGGTGTTGTGTAGTTGCAGTTAAAATTGAAGGTTGCTGCTCCCATATCTTCCTATATCCTCTACTTGGGAACAGAAATGTAGTAGTTAGGGACCGAATTTGGTAATAGGTACCAGAAGAACCAAATAACAGTGGTTTAAATAGAGTGGAATTAATTTCTTTTCTCATTTAACAAAAAATCCAGAAGCAGAGTGTCCTACATTGATAGCGTGATTTCATAACATCATTAGCGATTCTTTCTCTAGGGTAGATTCTTTCATCTTTAGGGTAGTACTCTTACCTTCCTGCTTGCAGAATAACTGTCAGATCTTCAGCTGTGAAGTCTGCATTCCAGGCAGAGAAGAGCGAGAAGAAGCAGAGGGATGATGTGGGCATCAAGAAAACAGAGTTTTCCTAGGATCCTTCTTCTTACGTGTCACTGGTCAAAACTGAGTTACACGGCCACTCCTCCCCACAGGAGAGACCCCTGTCATCTTCAGAAAGGGAGAACCTCTAGATACTAGGTTACGATTTGTTCACCTTGAGACCCTAGGGTGTTTGTGGTGGCCCCTATAACTGGGAAAGGAGCTTCTGATTAGGATCAGGTTAGAAGGAGGCACAGGACTGTTGTGAATGCAAAAGGAGACTCCTGGAATAAAATGTCTCAGCGATGTCCATGTTTTCTTCTGTCAGCCCGAAGTATTGTTCTGCCTCTTTCCTTCCTATTGCCACTGCTCATTTCTTATGGGACTTTTACTTTGACTGATTGCAGAAATGTTTACAAAATTGCCTTATAGCTCACCCTGAGCCAATAGTGTTATCTAGTTTTCAAACTATAGTTTTAAGCTCTGTTAGTGCTATTACAAATACATTCTTAATTGGCCCTGTTACTGTTAGCAGTGTTATGTCCGATTTTAGAGGATCATTTAGACTGGAATGTCTCCATAGGCCAGTAAACTAGATGATGATGCGTCTCAAAAACGTCATGTGAAAGGAACTGGCGATGTTTCACCTGAAAAAGATAGCCAAAATGGAGCCATTTTCTGTCTTCAGATATCTGAAGGACTGGTGTATGAAAGAGAAATTTATTTGGAACATGAGTATAAATTGCAAAAAGACATACTTCAAGTTCACATTTTTAAAAAGACTTTCTGCAACTTAGAATAGCCCAACAGGCTTCCTTGTGGAGAAGTGTACGTCCTGTCAACAAGAAATTTTTTAGACGATAGGTAATTTACTATGTGGAGGACTGCATAGGCAAGTATTTTTGTGGCAATCACTTAGGTTTTTTTTAACTTTTTAATTTTTGTATTGAGGTATGTAGCAGATTAACAGTGTTGTGCTAGTTTCAGGTGAGCAGCGAAGGGAACTCAGCCAAACAGATACATGGATACTTCAGATCTTTTTTGGGGACATGGGGCTTTAGGGAATCAAGTTTGAAAATCACTGGGAAAGTCTAGTTATTCTATGTTTACTTTCTACTTTAATAATTCAGTATAGGAAATGAGGAGTCACTGAAAGATCCTAAACAGAAGAAAGACATGATTTGATTTGTGTTTAGAAAGGTCACTACGTCATCCGTGTGACTAAAATCAAAACCGAGGTAAGGCACGGACACCAGTTTGGAGGATGCTATGGTGGCCTCGGCAAGAAAAGATTAGAAGCTAAACTGAGACAGTAGCAGCGGTGGACAGTGCAGTAGCATTAAACAACCTGATGAGCAGTTTGGTTTGGTGGGAAAAGAGAGTCTGGGTTCATTCTCAACTTGATCACTTTGAGGATTAAGTAAAGAATGTTAACTTTGGCAGACAAAGAGCATCTGGAGAAGCAGCAGGCTTGAAGGAAAAGATCTAGCTTTAAAACTGGTAAATTCAAGGTACCTAATTCACTGCAGGTCCAGGAATTGAGCTGTTGGAAAGTCAGAGAACCTAGGAGCCAGGTCTGGGCTGGAGAAATAGCTTTAGGGGTCACAGGTAAGAATATGACAGGTGAAACAAGGGGTGTTCCAGGAGGAGGTAGAATCAGCTAGAGAGACTGTGAGGAAGTGGTCAAAGAGACACAGGAGGAAGCTGGGCAAGTCTTATCAGCTGTAACTTCTTACAGCTGACGCTGGCACACAGGGACAATAACAATGTAGGCTTGGATGTTTTATGAACAAAGATTGAGGTTTAAAATGTTTACTTTCGTTAACAAATTTCAAATGTATTTGAAATAATTTTTAATAAAATTATGATATTCTGCCGAAATTCTGAGATGTTTCTACAATCTAAGAATATTACAGGTCTGTCTTATCATTAGGTGAAGGCAATCTATTTGCCTTAGGTATTTTTGTTTCTTCATTCTTATTTTACTTACTGTATTTTCTTCATTAACTATTCTGTTCTTAAATCTGACTAGTGAAAATTTATTATAGTACTAAAAATCATGTTTTAATAAAACTTACAGTTCTCTTAGTAAATGTGAGAACTTATACCTCCTTGTGTTCTTCGTTTACCTAAGGAAATGCAACTTCGCCACAAGTACAAAGGCCGTCTTTCATGGATTACTTTGATAAACAGGACTTCAAGAATAAGAGTCAAGAAAACTGTCATCAGAATATGCATGAACCCTTCCCTATGTCCAAAAATGTTTTTCCTGATAACTGGAAAGTTCCTCAGGATGGAGATTTTGACTTCGTAAGTACATTTTACTTCTTCCATATTTCTTTTCTCTTTCTTTGTTTTGTCATCCTAGCAAGAAATAGGTTGTGTGTGTGTGTGTATGCACTTGTGTATGATTAGAATTATGGACTATATTTTAATATTCAGTGTGTTGTCATCTATGGGTAGAGGAGCAGTGAAATTGTAGTTTGTTTGTTGAAATGTAGTTTCAGAGAAGTGTAAGTAATTGCTTGTGGTTAAATAAATTATAGCCCAAATTTAAAGTAATATTTAGGACTCTAAAACAAAAATGGTAACTGTTTCAAAAGATGTTTTTAATGATGCAAATGTGAGATATTTCTGACAGTAAATTCAAATTCCTAAACAAATGTTGGAAATGTGTTTGTGACATAGACATTGAGGAATTTGCCTCAGCTTTGAAAGTTTAATTCAAATAGTTTCTACTTAAGTGGTAATTCCTCTTGATTTGTCAGAAAAAAACAGTCCCGTTCTATGTCTAGTTAGAAATATAAGTGAGTAGTGAAAGTCACTTGGTCGTGTCCATCTCTTTTTTACCCTGTGGACTGCAGCCTGCCAGGCTCCTCTGTCCATGGAATTCTCTAGGCCAGGACACTGGAGTGGGTAGCCTTTCCCTCCTCCAGGGGATCTTCCCAACTCAGGGATCAAACCCAGGTCTCCTGCACTGCAGGCAGATTCTTAACCATCTGAGCCACATAAAAAACTTGTCTATTGCCTCCTGTTATATTTTCTCCTTATTTTTTCTTTCTCCTTATTAATTATTTCTTTTAAAGAACACATGTAATACTAGATAAATAATTCTAAAACAACTCTTTCTACAATGTGAGAGAGTAAATTTTTAAAGTGAGTTCTTTAATGTGGTAGAAATTTTTATTAAGTGAAGTTTTTGTTTTAATGTGTATTACAAATAGCATTTTGGAGAAGGAAATGGCAGACCACTCCAGTATTCTTGCCTGGAGAATCCCATGAACAGAGGAGCCTGGTGGGCTATAGTCCATGGGGTTACAAAGAGTTGGACAAACTGAGCATGCACACACATAAATAACATTTATTTTTGCCTATTGCTCTGTAAGATTTTCACTTAAAATAACTATAGCTATATTTGTTAATGAATACATGTTTGTTATAAAACATAAAATTTTAGATATATGTGTATCTTCAAAAATTTTAAGTAATATCAAGCCATTTTGCTTAGACACCAAGCCTCTAAATGCTTTGGGATTATAAACATTTTTAATGTTAAATACTTTTCTCCTAAATATTGTGATTATTTAAGTTTTATAATAATCAGATAATAAAGTTTCAAAATCTCTCCTCAGTAAATTTAGCACTAATTGCTAGCAACTATTAGCAATAGCACAGGTTAGTCTGAAATTCACTCATTATAGTATCTCCTTACTGTTTTTTCAATTTTGAGGTTGTAAATTAGAAATCTGTATTTCTGTACTTCTAATGTGATTTAATTTTATGCTATCTCCTTTTAAAATATATATAAATTATTTAGAATTCTGCCCCTCAAGCTTTAAATCATTCATGAACACAATGAATAATGTAGAGTACTTAGCATCAAAGAACTCTGTCTTAACTCAGTTGGAATAAATCTTAACAGCCTCTGGAAAACAGTTTGAAATGAGTACAAAGTAATGAATAAATTATCATAGTTAAGAAATAGCAAATAAAATGATTTAGTTCTGTTCAGTTAGTCTTTGCTGCCGGCCCTAAAATTTAGTAGCTTAAAACAGCTGTTTTACTTGCTTTCAGTTTTGTGGGCCAGCAGTTTGCCTAGGTTCAGCTGAGGGGTTCTGCCAGACTCCCCTGGAGTCTCGCACGCGGCGTGGTCATCTAGCAGCTTGGCTGGAGCCAAAGGGTCTCTGCAGTCACTCGTGTGTGGCAGTTGCTGAGAGCTGTCTAGGCTGTGTCACCCTTTCATGCAAGCCTGGAAGTTTTATGTTGTGGTAGCAGTGTTCCAAGAAGGTGATAGAAGAAGTTACAAGGTCTTTTGAGTCCTAAGTTGAGAATTCAATATCATCAAAAAAAATGAGAACTTAGAAATAATCTTAACCAAGGAGATGAAAGACCTGTACACTGAAAACTACAGTGTATTGCTGAAAGAAATTAAAGAAGCCACCAGTACATGGAATGACATCTCATATTCATGGATTGGAAGACTTAATGTGGTTAAGATGTCAGCATTGTCCAAAGCAACCTACAGATTCAATATAATCTCTATTAAAATCCCAGTGTTGTTTTTTTACAGTGGTAGAAAAATCCATGTAAAATTCATGTGGAATTTCAAGGGACTCGAATAGTCTAAACAACCTTGAACAAGAGAAACAGAGTTGGAGTTCTCATCCTCATTTCAGAACTGCTACAAAGCTACCGTAATCAAAACAGACAGACATACAGACTGATGGAATGAATAGAAAGCCCGGAAATAAACCATCACATATACAGTCAAGTGATTTTTCAACAAGGGTACTAAGACCATTCAATGAGGAAAGGATAGCTTTGTCACGAAATAATGCTGGAAAAACTGAGTAGCCACAGCAAAAGAATGAATTACCTTACATAATATACAATAATTAACTTGAAATGAATCAAGGATCTAAATAAGTATAAGAAGTGTATCTGAAAACCTCATAGGAAAAGCAGGGGGAAAGCTGTATGACTCTGGATTTGGCAGTGGTTTCTTAGATATGACACCAAAAGCAGAGGCAACAGCGAACTAAAACTCCTGTGCATCAAAGTACACTATCAGCAGCCAAGCGTCAGCCCACAGAATGGGAGAAAGCACGTAAGTCATATCTGATACGGGGTTAGCACCCAGGATACAGCTAAATGACTATAACTCAACAACGAAAAACTAAGCAACCGAGTTTACAAATAGTCAAAGTACTCCAATAAATATTTCTCGAAAGAAGATATACAAATGGCCAGTAAATGAATGAAAAGATTTGTTTGTTATCATCAGATAATGATTTCCTTAATTATTAAGGAAATACAGGTCCAAACCATGAGATACTATTTCACACCCATTATATAAACACACACACACACAGAAAGTAAGTGTTGGTGAGGATGAGGAGAATTTGGAAGGAACCCTTCCTTGTACACTACATGTGTGAATGTAGATTGGTACAGCTGTGGATAACAGTACGGCATTTCTCAAAAAAATTGAACATAAATTACCATGTGATCCAGCAATTCCATTTCAGGGTATATACCCAAAAGAAATGAATAAGAGCAAAGACCTGAATAGATATTTGTATATCCACGTTAATAGCAGTGTTATTCCCAATTGCCAAAAAAGTGGAAGCAACCCAAGTGTCAATTGATAGATGAGCAGATAGACAAAATGTGATATATGCATACAAGGAAATTTTGACACAAACCATAACATGGATCTATGAACTGTGAAGATAATAAGCTAAGTGAGATAGCCAGTCACACAAAAGGATTCTGTGTGATTCCACTTATATGCGATATCTAGAGTAGTCTTATCTAATTCATAGAAATAAAATGGTGGTTGCCAGGTACAGAGGAAAGGGGAAGTAGGGAGTTATTGTTTTTTGAGTATAGAACTTCAGTTTTGGAAGATGAGAACAGTCCCAGGGATGGAGTGTCATGCTGGTAGCGCAATAGTGTGAATGTACTTAATGCCACTGAACTTAAAAGTGGTTATTCTTAGTCACTATATGTCACAAGGCCAGTCCAGATTCAAAGGATGTGGAAATTGATTTCACCTTATGATGAGGAGAATAGCAAAGTTGCATTGCAGAGGGTCCTGTGGAATGAATGAGAATTATTGCAGTCATCTTTGTGAATAGTCTACTGAAAGTTGTTGTAATGAAAAATTCAGCAGAGTTTAGAATGACGAATTTAGGAAATCAGAGGTCATTAGTGGTTTTGGCAAGGGCCATCTCATACCCTTCTTTTAGAATATTCATACACAACTCTTGACATGCAGTCTTCTGCTGTCCTTTTTAAGCTCATTCTAGTTTTGAGTCAGAGCATCAGTTTTTCCAGTGGCCAACTTCTGATAACATTTTCCGCCCATCATAGATTCTGGAGTCCTTCTATCTGGAAATTCCAAAATTTTTTAGAAAACTTCAGCTTAACAAATGTCCTGTTTTCTGGTTGGATTGTGCCAGGCACTGTGGGTTTAAATGTGTATGTGTGTACATTTGTTAAGACAAAATATAAGTTAGTAAAGTGTTAAATTGTAATCCAGAGCAGTAATTCAGATATTACGTGGTTTTATTAAGAGGAGGACTCAGTAAAGGTTGGAGAAGGGAAGGCAGGCAGTACAAAGGATGGTGTGTGTAATAAAAAGCCTAGAGGTAGGAAATGACAAGATATATTGGGTGACAATGAAGTGGAGACCTTCAAGTGCATTTGGAATAATACGGGAGATAAAATGGAAAGCTAGGTTTGGGTCAGATGGTGGAAGCCTTAAATGTAAGATTGCAAAGTCTGACATTTTATTTCCTAGACAGTGGAAAACCAACTGAAGGTTTTTAGGTTGGAGAATGACATGATGAAAAGTGTTTTAAGAATATTAATCTTGATGTTAGCATGCAGAATTGATTGATAGAAAAAGACTAGAGGTAGGGGAAAATCAAGTATGTGAAGTAGACTTTAAATAATATAGTAATAAAGCGGAAAAGAAGCAGCAAATACAGGGAGAGATGTAGGAGACACTAGAAAGGTTAATCAGCAGAAATAGCTGACTTACTAAAGAGACAATATTGGTTAAGAGGAGGAGCCAAATAATAGAAGATGAAACTTAAAAAAAAAAAACAGAGGAGGAAAATGAATTCACAGCTGGGAAGAGTCTCCATGAGATCACATGACTGGATTATTTCTTTTCTGACGTACACAGGGCATGTAGCTGTCAGAGGGGAGAAGGGAGGGGGACGGAATGACTAGAGCAGTTCTTCCTTCTCCAGCGTCTACTACACCTGTGAGCTGCTCAGCCCTCTCATCACCTGGAGGAA